TGAGCTGGACCTGATGTGAACTAGACTAAAGTGAGCTGGACCTCAGGTGAACTGGAACTAAAGTTAACTAAACCTGATGTTACTGCACCTGCAAGTAAAGTAGACCTAAAGGACTATCTGGTATTTATTTAATATTGTTCTGGTTGTAATATTAGGAAGGTTCTACTGGCATTCCCTAGTTTCTAAGAGTTCTGTTCCTGAAAAACCACCCCACCATCCCCTCCCCCAGCTACAAGGTGATAGGATATTTATGGTAAAGGTGTTTTTTGGCTTATAACTTGCATTGCTGGAATCCTTGCAAGATAGCAATTAAGTTGAGTATAAACATCTCACAGTTTGCACTAGAGATAATTTTTTTTAGTCCTTTAGCCAAGTACATTTGAGTACAGAGTGAGTACAGTTATATGTTGCTGAAAATTATGGCTTTTTCACAGGGAAACGTCTGTATAACTATCCCCAGTAGTTAGGATATTATGTACTGTATTTTGGGTGTTTAGTCTTGATCTTTGAGGGTTCACTGTAATTGTCCACAGGGGGTTAATATTTGAAGTTGCCAACACCTATTTATGACTGTATATTGAGTCTTATATAGGGAGAGAAAAAAAAACATTATACAGTAAAGCATTTTCTTTGGAAATTTATATTTGTTGAGTATTTTAACCTATAAAATTACCCACAATATTAACTGCTCAAAGTGGGCAGGGTGTTGAGGTAAAATGTGAGTTAAAATGATCAAGAGAACACCAAACAAACATGGATTAAGGGCAGGAAAACACAGGCTGCTTGCTTCTTCTATTGTCATCCAGGTCCAAGTGACTCACACTCATTACACAATTTCCCAATACAATTAGGTTATTTAACAGATAGGTAAGTGAACAGGGCACCATCTGATTACTCTAGAAGTGAAATGCAACGCCATCTAGAAAGCAGAGGTCACTTCACTACAGTACAATTGCGATACTAGTAAACTGTTCCATTGGCCTACTTGCCTCTGTGTGAAGAAATAATTCCGTATGTTCAATCTGCACGATCACTTGGCAAGCTTAAAGTCATGTCCTGTCGTGTTGGTGGTGCACCATTTATAGGGATGTTAGGTAGGAGGCAGGGTTCCGTTTCTGTGTACCGTAAGCCTCGAATAACGACGGTAATGTGTCCTCCAATATTGCAGTGTAAGGTGAATCGTTGTATCGTGAATCATTAATTACCATTAAAATAAAGCAATAATAATGAGATGCTTTCCCCGGTCTGACCTTTACATAACTTTTGTGTGGCTTTTTACCCTCTTCCCCAAAAACAATACTGTACAATTAATGAAAGTCACTATATTCTTTAAATAATGTTTATGAATGGTCCTTATACAATATAAATCAATATAATAAGATCACACAAGAGGAGATGGGACGCTATTGTTGTTGTCGTGTTTACACCTACAATGTCAGTTATCCGCCGGAAACAAAAAATAAGACCCTGGTTGTTGTTATAATAAAATTAATGTAAAAAAAAAATATTTGTTTTAATTAATGTTATTTAATGTACAGTAAAAGTAACCACTGATGTTAAAGAACAACAAAGAGTGAGAGTGGAACGGCAATGTATGCTGTACTTGCGCCCTCAAGGAAACCGCATAATTTATCTTACAAATATGTACAAAAGATTCATTATTGTTTATTACTGAATATGTATTTGATTGAATTAATGTTTGTATATACGAAATGAACAATGCAATTCATTAATAATACATAGAATATTAAAACACGCAAGAGGAGACGAGACGGCATTGTTTTCGTTCATGTTTCCAACACCCGTGACGAATGACTATGGTTCTACTTCTACATAAGAAACTGAAGAAATATGACCCTGGTTGTTGCTGTAGTATAATTAATGTAAAAAAATTAATATGTATGTATTAGGTAATGTTATTTAATGTTAATAAATGGAACAATAGAAGTAGCTAACCATTAATGGCAAAGAAAAACTAAATAGATTGGGAATGCCATCGTATGTAAGTGTGCACATGTGAAAATATCGTCATTTCTCTAGTACATAAGAATATGAAAGCAACACTTACTACTGGTCATATATGTTTTAAATAATACTTACTAATGTAAAGCAAAAATTCTATTTGCAAATGGTGGTGAAGTCTAAAACATAAGGACAGCCAATGAATATTGTGCAAGGTTTTACTCAGATGATATCATCAATCAGGATCAACTGTGACTGAAGCTTTCCATAAAGATATCATAGCGGTTGCTGAAACTGAAGTTGCTGTTGAAGCTTCTTATGAAGCTGAATTTGATGGTTTAGGACTTTCAATAATAAAGCTGTTGAAAGAACCTTTCACAGCCACTTTCTTATTCTCATTACACATCTTTATGTTGAGGTCATATGTGCTTTTCACGTCCTTGTTAATTTTAATGCTTCGTTCTGTTCATGGATCCACTTCAGAAAATAATAATATGTTCATTGCTTGCTCCATATAATATCCACAGACCTCTCACCTTTTCATATCGTTTTAACACATCTAGTTTCTCGGATAAGGTTGTACTTGTACACTATCTTTTAGCTTTTGAACCAGCACGACCACCACTTGCTCTCTTGCTCATGTTGAATAGGGACTCAAAAATGCTGTAAGAAACCTGAGAAAGTTTTTCTCCTGTTCCTGTTTAGATGCGTGAAAACAAAAGGACTGCCAAGCTCCGACTCTTGTTTACTGGTGATGCTCATTACCACTCATATAGCCCAGCAGCTTCCCTTGCCCGGCAACTTCTTTGCGCAAGGCGCTCTTTTTTTTTTTTTTTTAATACATGTTGGGATTTGGTTATTACTGGTACTCCTTGACTTATGACCACCCGGACATACGACTGCCCCAGTCATACCAAAATTTATTCAAATTACGAATTTTCGAGTCCCGACGTTAGTGATTGCGCTGTGTACTGACCAATTTTTTGTTTGTAATTCCTTTTAAAATGGCTGGCAAGCCTAAAAGTAAGAGTTTTGTGGTGCTGAGAAGAAAAAGAGACACCCGTTTTAGATTTTCTATGCATTATTTTTGCATTCTCGACTTACGACCTGGATTTGGATCCCTAACCCCATCGTAAGTCGGAGACTGCCTATATTTACAGTACAGTCATGCGCCGGTTAACGTACGATCGCATATACGTCCGTCCGTCCCCCCGCCTCCCCAAAAAAACCCACTTCCGTGACGCCTGCTGGACCACCACTCCACGACCCCCTTACGGAGACACGATGATCCTTCCCATACTGGCCAGATATTATGTTTTAAAGGAATATCCTTCCTTAGGCTTTAGTAAGCATTTGCCTCCAGGTGTAATGTTATCCTACATCTATTGAGGATAAAATCTTTCACCTACAAATTGACAATAACACATTTGCTATAATCAGACATATCTAGTTGCCTCAACAATTGCAACCCCAGTTGCAATTGGGGTTGCAATTTCAAATTCTGTGTCATTTAAGGAATAACGAAGTCTCAGGTGCACTGCACTCTTAAGATTAAGAGAAAACGGACTCAGGCGTCCTGAAGCGAGAGAAAACGGACTCCTATGATGGGGGACACAAGCACTCACACATGCCACTCATACTGACAGACTTGACACTCACTTACTTGACAAGTTTTACCAACCATTAGTTGTGTACGTTATCTAGTGAATTTAGTCAATATTTTACAGTACACTGCAACACAGTGGTCCCTTGGTTAACAATGGAACAAACCTGTACTGTACATGTACTAAATGATTACGGTACTTAAATTGTTATGTCTATTGCAAATATAGATTGTTTATACAGGTATTCAAATAAATCACTATCTTACAAGAATCCCAGCAATGTAAGTTATATTCACCCAGGTCGTTTGGGTGGCAAATTATGAGAAAAGCTTAGTCACTCTTAAGTAATGATAAATAAACACGCAAGCCTTCAGCGCCAACTGTCAAATCTTATCTCAAATAAGTAAACCAACACCAGACACTCTTGTCACCCCCCCCCTTCCCACACTCGCTGGCTACCTCCCTCCTTGTGTTCCCAGACAAAAGATTGGTGATACCTTTATGCTTTAAGGCATTTATTTTATATAATATCTCAGACTAAAGTTAGGAGATTATAATTTGCATTGCTGGAATCTTTACAAGACAGCCAATAATCTTAATATAAACTTCATATATTTTGCTCAAGATATAAAAATTATAGTACATTAGTGTACAATACTGTAGTACATTTTATAATACAGTATAAAGTTTTTCAACTGTATTTTTGGGTAGATTTACATAAATATCTTCATTTATTTTCATCCATTTACATGCACACACCATACTAAAAGAAACGTAAAAGAAATACTGTAAATGACTTTAGTGCAAAGCTGGAGTGCACATGTACTAATTTGATTACGGTACTAAAATTGTTGTCTAGTGCAAATTATAGGTTGTTTATATTTAAATAAATCAGCATCTTACAAGAATCCCAGCAATGTAAATTATATTCACCCAGGTCATTTCACTGGCTTTTTATAGGAGAGAAGCTTAGTCACTTAAGAACTGATAATTCGTTAGACCTGGGCCTGTGCCAACTGTCAAACTGCTCCCCTCCACCCCACCCCACGCCCCCTCCCTCCCTCTCCCCCATCTGCCCAGTGTTGCTGGAATCCTTGTAAAACAGTGAATAATATTAAAATAAACGTCATGTATTTTGCACAAGAGATAAAAATTAATCACCTGTATCACATTACAGTAGTGATTTAGGAGTAAAAGTGTATACTGTATGTACGTTTATAGTATTCCACATACACGTAAGTATAAATACTGTACACAGTTTATGTGATGATCGGACAACGGTTAACGTCACGTTTCCAAGAACGTATCTAGGACGTTAACCGCGCATCACTGTATATGAAAATGTAATTTTATTTTATTTTTATTATAGTTTCGTCATAAATTTGAATAAAATAATGACGTAAATTGAATTGGGTCCTAAATTAACCAGGGTCTTAAATATAAATTGTCGTTGGTGGAACTGTCGTTATCGGAGGCTTTACTGTACAGTACAGTAATCCAGACTGAGAGGTACATGAGATTTGTACAGATTAAGGAGCATTTATCTATCTTTGT